AATTAATGATTTAGAACTGAATGTATGCAGGTAAGAATCAAAGAATCATACCTCTAGCAATTAAAAAGGCTTTGATCCTGCAATGATGGAATATACAATAGGATATTACAACAGAATAGAATAGAATAGAATAGAATAGAATAGAATAGAATAGAATAGAATAGAATAGAATAGAATAGAATAGAATAGAATAGAATAGAAGTGAGAATGGTCTTAAACAGAGACAGGGGAGGTTTAGGTTAGATATTAAGATGAATTTTATCACACAGAGGGTGGTGACACACTGGAACAGGTTGCCACTGGAAGTTATGGATGTTATGGATGTCCCATTCCTGGAGGCGTTCAAGACCAGGCTGGATTTGGCTCTGGGCAGCCTGCCCTGGTGGTTGGCAACCCTGCACATAGCAGGGGGGTTGAAACTAGATGGTCACTGTGGTCCTTTTCAGCTCAGGCCATTCTATGATTCTATGATTCTATGACTATGTTCTAAAGACTCTTAGAAAAACTGAACACAAGAGATTGTGTAGTATTTGCGATGGGAAGATAATATTTCCAGATATGAAGTGATGCATACTTCAAGGTTTAGAATAGACTGGTTGTACATACTCCTGAGTGCACGCCACTGCGTGGGAGCAGCTATTCAGGAGAAAGAACTGGGTACCATTTACATGGATCAGCTTCCATACAGTATTCAGTTCTGCTTCTCTGAATTAAAATGGAATAACTTTATACGACTCAGTAACAGTTAATGTGAATCACTGTAAGCAGTGAAAATACTTATAGACTTTTTTTTCTGAAATTTGTCTCCTTTCTTTAACGAAGAATAAAAACGTGTAATACTTTGAAACAAAACAGTGAATACTACAGAGCGAAAAGGCAGAAAAGAATGAATTCCTTTGTCATTTCTTTTAGAAAAGAGTGCATTTAATTTATCACTATTGCATGTAATTCAGTGAAATAACTCCTTGCCACAAAATGCCTCTGGGACTAAGTTTTTAATAGAAATAGAAAGGGAATTTTGTGTTTTCAGGCTTGGTGTTTTTGTAGTTAAATTCTATGCAGAGTTAAAAAGCAGAAATGTCTTCAGCACCAAAAATACTTTAGTCATGTGTCAGCTTTTCCAGACTCTATTTTTCTGGATAATTTTCACAAGCACAGTTTTACTAGATTATGGGTGGTAGTACAGTTAATTAGCAATGGTTGACAACTATTCCTCTGATTTGTTAACTTATTTCTGATAATGTGAAATCATATAAAACTCTCCAATGATGTAATTACACATTAAATTTTTATACAACAATCACATGAAAGAAATCTGTTCTAGTATTAATGTTTTATTCTGTCCCAAATTCTGGAAGTATTTTTAACACACTGGTATATATTTTTTCTAACCAAATCTGTCAGAAATGAGAATGTATAATTAACTTTTACAGAGGGATAAATGAATAGTCCTAAATTATGGTTTTGAAATAAATTTAAGAAGAAAAGTTCTGAAAAGAAATAAGCAAAGAAAATTCCATGAGTTGTAATTGTTTAAAAAAAAAAAATAATAAAAAAAAATTACCATGGGAAAAACAAACAAACAAAAACCCTTTAATTGCTGTGTATGGGAACTGCTGAGTCACAGCCTGAACCTCTGATTGATCACCTGAGGCAGGCCATGAGTCAGCCAGAGGAGCACAGGTGAAGGCAATTCCCCTGTGCTGCCGGAAGGGGTGGAGCCTGGCTCCAGCCCTCCTAGAGCTATTTAAGACCTGGCTACCAACGTGGAAAGTTCTCTTCTGGAGATCCCCTCTTCTGGTGTTTTTGTGGGTGAGCCTAGCATAAGGGTAAGCTTTCCATTTATTCTCTCTTGTTACTTTAGTCTACTTTGCCTAGCTCTCTTGTTCTTTTTTGTTTTTATAACATCTTAATATCCATTGATTATACATGCTGATTTGCCAGTTTATTCAAATATATGGAATCTGCAGATAAAGGTCATGTTAGAGCTGTGAAGCATAGCTGTGTCTAGGATAGTACCTTCTGGAAGTTTTCTTTTTCTTTTTGACAAATATCAGAGCAGTTATGGGCTAACCTTGCTCTTTAAAATAGATTCAACCTGATGTTGTATTGGAATTCAATCTCCATGAAATACAGATAATAATATGTAGCTGTTTCATAAAGATGCTTGAGAATTAATTAGTGCATAAAAAGCTCACTGCAAAAATCAATATTTTTTTGAAGAAATAATTTTAAATGAGAGAAAATACTGCTGCAAACTCATCAATAGGAATTGATGATACAGGAAATAGGAATAAGAATTCTGCATTAGACTCTAGGTCAAAGACAGAGGAAATGAAGTAGGCTCCTTTGTGACCACCCAAAAGCAGTACAATTAAGCCTTTTGTTTTGTTTTATATTGGGGGGGGGGGGGGAGACAAAGAGAGAATTTTTGTGTATAAGTGTCAGATCATTCTACGTTCCCTTTCCCTCACTAAAACAATGTGATCCAGACCAAAGGCAGCATGCACCCTTACTGCTGATTTGAATAAATACACTGTCAGTCAAAAAGGAAAGATAACCCTCTTGTGCTCAAAATGTAATCTTTCACTGAAGGGAACATGAATTAACACCTTCAACTTCTATACAATACTTTATTTTCATGAAGCTTATTGGAGCTTGAAAGCTCTAAGTCCTTGGCTATACTTCCAATTCTAGTTGAAGCACAAGACTGTTTGAGTTGAAGGGACCTTGAAGATAATCTAGCACCCCTGCTAGTGGTGCTGGGGAAGGTTTTGTTCCACTAGACCATGTTACTCAATGCCGCATCTATTAAAATCTGATATCAAGTTCAAAAGTTGTTGAGGATCTTGACTGAATGACTGGCAGAGAGATAACTGAACATAGACAGTTTTATGATGGCATAAAATTTTTCTTCTTAGGAAAGCAGGCTAAAAATAAACTCACATTATTATAACACACAGTAGACTTTAAGTGTTGCTCATAAGAAAGCTGCAATAATTACAGTACTATACTCCTGAGGCTACTTGAAGGTATAATAATGGTTATAAGAGTTATTCTTCTCTGTCTACCTGTAAAATTGATGCATGTCACTCATACATAATAGCTGTTTAACAATTCTTATTATTGAACATGTGCTATCAACTGACAGTAACTGGAAGAAAACAAAATGCAAGACAAAACAAGAATCTCAGTTTTCATTTAGGACTGTCTTCTGTAAGATCTATTGGTACACAAACACTAGTTTACTCAGCTGAGAATATGATGAGCCCTTATGAGCTGTATAGGTAAAGTTCAATCCCAGAGAATTCAAATCCTGCAGCAAAGCTCTCATAAGACAAGTCACTTGAAATTATTTCATGATGTGGTCTTTTGCGAATCAAGTAAATACTTGATTCTGAAGTACATGAGGAAAGCTGAGGCCTTTTTGTTATTCAGTAGAATACAAAAAGTCATTAAAATAAACTACACTCTCCAAATGAATATTTATTTGTATTCTGAAGTGGCTTACTTCAATGACTACAATTTTTAAAATCCATCTTTGCTGCATTCCAATTGCCATTTTCAGTAAACAGATTGGCACTTATCTAGAGGCAGAAGAACATTTACCTGTAAAAATAACCCATTCCGGTGACATTATAAAGGCTATAATGTATGCAGCATTCAACAAGGGCAAATCGCCTTTCTGGAAAATGCCAAACACTTAGCCTGATTTAATTATTTATTATGTGAAAAGAAAGGTCTGTGACAACTCACACTGATGTGGGTTTGTCTAGTGTTTTTGTCAGAACAGAAACCGCTACTGTGAGTTCCAAACTAAACTGAGGCGATGCATCACTGTCATGAACATCACAGTTCGGGTCCCCTCAGACCAACTGCAGAATTTATGTTAGTGCAGCTTAACCTTGAACTAATTTTTGATTAAATATTGAGTAATGAAAATTGAATTTTCTCTCAGTTGTATCAAGTAGTATGTCCATAAGCTGCAAAAGCACCAGGTCCTGTTCATTATGCTTATCAAGATACTCCTACTGCCATCAGTAGAAGCTGTCCATGCCTGAGGTTGTTTTCTTTTGTCTTTTTATTGTCAGGAATGGCAAAGATAAGCTGTGAAGAAAGACAGTAGTGGAGAGAAATAAAAATATACATATATTGAAAAAGGATTATTTCACTAATCATGTTCTCAATGTAGCTAAAATAGTGTTGACCATTTGTACTCACTGATTTTATAATGGACTATTCTTTCATTCACTAGCATTGCAATTGTACTCCAGAATAATGTAGGATTCAATGTCTATATCATTTCTCTCATGTAACAGACAGCAAGATGGAATATTAAACAATGTTATTTTACACTGGGGAAGAAGCCTTATTGTACCATAATGAACCTCTCTGGGCAAAATCTACAAATCGATACAATACAGCTCAGCTGACCTGACAGATGGGACAAACTCTTTAGCAGGTTCTGCCATAATATGACAAGAGGAAATGGTTTCAAACTGAAAGAGGGGAGATTTAGACTGACTACAAGGAAACATTTTTTTATGATAAGGGTGGTGAGGCACTGCTTAGCCCAGAGAGGCAGTGGATGCCCCATCCCAGGAGACATTCAAGGTCAGGCTGGGCAGGGCTCTGAGCAACTTGATCTAGCTGTAGGCAATTCCTGTTCATTGGGGAGGAGCTGGGCTATATGGCCTTTAACAGTTCCTTCCAACCCAGATGATTCCATGGCATCTGAAGCCAGCTGTTATTATCTGTCATTACACTGGCTTGCCCAGTTGTAGAGGCATCTTATGTATTCTTATTTCTCATAACTTCAGTTTCTGAATGAATCTACTGTTGAGTGCAAATACAAGATGAGATCCTAGACTTAAGAAATTTTTCATGATAACTTGTTTATTCTTTAAAATATATATATAACAATAAAAAAAAAATTATATCCTGTGTGTATTTGCCATTTGCTCCAATGGCATCCTAATGTTCTGTTTTTCTTAAAAGATCTTGGAGGTGAGATTTTCTTTTTGATGAATGGCTGCTGTGAGCTTATAATTCTTATATCTTAACCTGCCCGGGCTGAAAATATGTACCCTTTGCATCACATGCCAAAATGAAGACAGTAAAACTGCCACAGCAGAATAGATTGCAAGGTAAGTAACTGTTTTCTAGCTCTTTAAGACAACTTGTAAAAAGTAAATGGGCAGTTTTTTAAAAACACAGTTGAAAGTCTTGATGTATTTACTTTGAAACCTAGTGGAATTTTTTATATCTGTGAGTTCTGACCTATTGATCTGCTGTCCATCTAGTGACATCATTTACACTTGTGCAGAGAACAATCAGTGGAATAGAAAAGCCATATTAGTTTCCTATATTACAGTGATATTTTAAGTGACAGTATAGTCAAGGGAGAAGACTTCAGTAATAATAAAAAAAATTAAACAAGCAATGTAGTTTTGGGTTGTATGGCCTTGCCAAATTGATTTTTACTATGGTTATTTCCTGTAGTCTACCATCAGAGGAGCTGTCATATCTGCAATAGCCTTTCTTTTTTTGAATTAACTATTTTCAGTTGGATAAGCAAATAAGCTTATTTGCATTTAGCATACCGTTCTGAATTACAGTCCAATATTTCCTATCCTAAGGTTCTGGCAACTTTCTGCCATATGTCCTCTGGCTAAATGTTTTTCAGACATATGAAAAATTTCCAGTTCTTTCCCTAATCTAAATAGTATAGATTACTGTGTCTCAAATAAAAGAGATTTCTGGAGGTTGTTTTAGTCCCAGATCTGTGGAAAGGATAGGGAAAAACGGGAGGGCATTCTTGTCTGATAGTCCAAGAATGAAAGGAAGCATTTTGTGAAAGTTAGGGTAAGATGCTTGTCTTGGACAACTTCTGTCAGTGGAACATGAAAATAAACCCAATATCTCAGCCAGTCTGAACTGGAAGAAAAATCTCTCCTCATTCCAAAACCAGCAATTCACATTCCTCAGAGTGTGTGTGTGGAGTAAAGCTTACCTGAAAAGATTGCTCAGATACATGAGATCTGGAATGTAGATATATATAGAGAGAGACAGACAGAGACAGAGAGAGATAACTGACAAGATTTATCTAGTATATGTTGAGAAATCATAAAATACAGATAAAATTCCATATTAATGTTTGCAACTTCACACTCTTGAAACCTATTTGGGGACAGGTGAACACAATATGACAGTAATCCAGATTAATACACACTAATTGGCTTTCTGTATGGAGAAGGTTAAAAAAAAAAAAATCAGCTTTGGGATACATGATTAACAGCTTAACAAATCTAATTCAGAACGCAATAAATAATGAAAAATTGTGGTCCCCTCGGGAGGAGCTTTGGGGAGGAAAGAGGAACTCAATACATAGATATGTGAAAATGTGAGGAAGACTGAGTCTAAGATGATGCCACTACATGTGATTGACAAGTCAACAGGTTAGAATAGTGTCAGGCTTGCCCAGAATATGGTGCTGGTCATGGCTAGACTGAGCAGCTTTGATCATTCTTTAATAAGAAGCCTGAGAGTGTTGTAGAATAGAGATCTTGAAACAGAACTTTTTATCCACCTGCTAGAGCTTATTAACTCAAATCAATTAAAAGTATGCCACAGCACTAAATGATGCTGAATGTCATCTTAACACGGGCACTTTCTCTTCTGGGGCTCCCTGACTTCATAGATGGCCAAGATCTTTTGCTTCAGAAGAAGAGAGGAGGAAAATGATTTTTAAAATGTTTCTTATATCTACAGTGAATTACTATTTTCATATGAAATTCTATCAGAATCTTGTGTGTTGTTCTCCTACAAAAGTAGCTATCCTTGCGATCAAATACCAAAAAATAATAAGCATGGAAAAGCCTGTGAAGATGACATGAAATATCAACTCTGCTTTATTCTTGTAATTATAAACCAGAGAATACACATGCTATTAATAATTTGTTGGTGGAGTTTACAGCTCTCTGCTGAAGCACAGTGGGTACACGAAGCTCCAGAAAGGCTATGTCTGCCAGTGCAATGCCCGATATCGACTTCATTTTCTCCATTTAGGAGTAAAATCTGGGTCCTGGAGAAAGTGATGAAATAAGAATAACATATATATTGCCAACTCAGGTACAAACTGCGTAACATGAAAGACAGAAAGAAGGAAAAAAGAATTATTAGTAGGGTATCTGATGTTGTTCTAACAGTCACCCTTTGAGAGTTGTAAATTTCCTGTAAACTTCACAGAGAGAAGAGCTGAAAGATTATTCATCTGGAATGAGAGAATGAATAAAAACACAGCTGGAAGAGTAAAAAAGAAAAGCATTCACTCTGCAACACCAATAAATTTATTAACGCTTGAATAGGATTATAGCAGATTTTGTCAATATCATATTTGTACCTCACAAGGAAGGTTAAGGGAGGTAGGGGTGCTGGAAGCTTTGCAGGTACCTAAATTAGGAAACTAGTCTGGTTTTGTTATAATGGAAGCGTAAGACTTAAGCCACTGTGGACAATCCCTGTAAAACTACACAAAACATACACTACTTTTTCCAAGTGTTTAGTTTTGTTTAAATAACATCATTCTAGTCTTACTGCTATTGAAAGTTGGACTGATGTGTAATAGCAAAAATAAAAGCTATTTTTTGACTGAACAAAAAGAAATCTAAGAAATAAACAAAAACATGCAAAAAAGGATGGGAAAGCTGATTTACTAAATATGTTAAATATTTTATAATGGACAATTCCTATCCATACACAGATGTAAGAATACTGTCTTGTGCATTAATTGTTCAATAAGACAAATGTTCACTGTCATGCATACAAATTTCAAAATGTGTTTTAGGACAAACAAAATGAATATATCATCTTTGGATTAGAGTAAGCAAGTACTAACATGTAGATCTGAATGATATTTTGTTAAAAAAACGTCTGGGAGAATCTTCTAGTACGTATGGTCATTTCACTGTCTGGAAATGTAAGGATCCTTAGAATACTTTGAAAATAGCTGAAAAAGTCAAGCACTTGAAACACAGATTTACTTAAGTGAGAAACACATAACAGAAGAATAATTTTAATTAAGGAAACTTAATAGTTGTATATTGTATCACTTTTTGATTAATAGTCACGACTCACCTTTTGGAAATGTATGCAAGCATACATACTATGAAAGCAGAAAGATGTGAATTACAGAATCACAGAATTGTTGAGGTTGGCATTAGGTCCAACTATGCAAGTCATGAAGTCATAGGTAAACTGGGCAGAGTTCTGCCATTATAATCAGTGTATAGATCCTGGTAAATGTTGATAGAATATTGGATTTGAAGTAAGCCAAGCTGCTCATTATAGAATCAAAGACTCATGGAATCATTATGGAAAAGACCTTCAAGATCATCTAGTCCATAGGTGTCCAACCTTGGAGCTTCCCTGGGCCACACTCGCTGAAGAGGAACTAAAACTTAGTTAATTATAGAAGTAACAAAATATTTTTAAAATATTTTTCATTATTATTTTTTAAAGAGTCCATCAAAAAAATAGAACTGGTGGGATATTTGCTCTTTTTTCTTTGAAACTTGGTTTGATGGAAGTGATTGCAATTACTAGTTAATACTCAAAATGTTCATTAGAGATTTTTAATGTAATTTCACTCTTCCTGTACTTTTTCCTTGAAAAGGGTTGTTCACAAATGTAGGAATAGCCAAAAAGTGATAATATGAATAAGGCGTGATAGTAAAGAAAGGCATATATTTCTCTGGTTAAGAGAGCTATTACAAAAATCCAGTAGAGTAGTACATTCTGTCTTTGAGTTCAATGTCTGACTGCAGCTCTGTACATTCAGTTTGAAAATTCATAGGTAATGTATTCATGTTGAATGAAATTGAAGTCGCAAATATTCCAAAAAATTGTTGGCTTTTTTGTAAATCTTAAAACTTATTGAAGTTTTTGAAAAAGAAGACTGTTAAGATGAGAGGGAGAAATCTTACTAAAGTAAGGGCAATGTCAAGTGGTAGTCTGGATGAATATCATATCTGTGTCTATATCTATGTCATATCTAGACATTATGACAGGTTTGTCCCAAACCAGTGTGCTAAAATTGGTTCAGATTATATCGTTAGGAGTCACTGTGTCATGAATAAACATAAGACACTTAGATTACAAAATCCTGAAGCTACCAAATCAAAAGGTCTACTGATGATTGATTTTTAAGGAAAGAATCCACATAAATTAGAAAAGTTGTTAAACAAAGGTTAAAGAGATTAATCATTCCCAGTAGGGAGTATTTAAACTATCATATGGCATCTCCAAGTAAAAGAATGCAGCCTGTCAGGAAGGATCTGACAGAATTCAACTGCCTTTCATTAGAAAGGGAGATTCATTAAAAACCTTAAGCCGTGTTGAAATGTGAAAAATAGAAGGAATGATAATCTCTGATCGACTAAGTTATATATAAATACACAAAATGGCAAGGCCAAAGAAAGAGAAAACAAGGTACAGATATTTAAAATAAATAAATTAATAAATATATTTTCAATCATGAGAAATAAGCCTTCTTAGGTGTATGTAGCAAAAGGAAATGAATGAAATAGTGAAAGGAGCACAGAGGAAAGGAGACTACAGGAGAGAAGAAAAGCTATAGGCAAAATGAATAGTAAAGTAAAATCTACAAGACTGAATGGTGTTTACATTTGGGCTCCAGGGAAATTTGTGGATGAAACAGTGAATCACAGACCTCTCCCTCAGACACAGTGTGGAGACAGAGGACTGACACATGCCTAACACAGTACCAGTTATTTTGGAGGGCTGTAGGGGAATCCTAGGGCTGGCCAGTAACTCAAGATCTGCAGCAAGTTAACTAGTTAAAACTGTCTGAAAAATAGAATTTGTGTGCACCTAAAAGAGGTGAAGATGACTGTGGAAAAGGGGATTTAACTAGGTAAAGACATTTCTGATTTAGAGTAAACAAGTTGCTGAAATGGTTAGTTTGCAGGGTGGAGGAAGATTACTGGAAGAATCTCTCATCTCTTGCAGGTTTGTACTTGATTCTGTGATTTTAACTTGGTCATCAGCAATCTTGAGAAGAAGCTGAACAGTGAGGTGAAAAAATCTAGCAATATTACCAAGTCATTTGAAACAATATATATGAGCAATACCTGTGAAAAACGCAAAAGTACTTCATATCAGTGACTGACAGGTGACAAAATGGTGGACAAATATACAGAAAAAAACCATAAATCTGTTACCTGTATGCTTTAACTCACTTTTGATAAAGTAAACCACATGGAACTTGAATACAAAATTATGAATACAAAACTGATCATCGATCAGTTTCAGGAAAAAAAACCAGAAATGTTACAAACTCTCCAAATTACAGCTTTGCTTCAGAATGAGTATCTGCCAATTGCACATCTGTGTCTACAATATGCTTCCCTTGCAGGAGGTTTTCAGATTTGGACCAAACAGACTAAATTGAAACATGATTTCAGTTCTATTAGATCAAATCTATCTATGTAAATCTCTAGCTATGATTTTTTTTCTAGTTATACATGTGAATAATCCATCTGGCACCTTTTTAAAAAAACACTGACTGTCTAGGCCAGCTTAAAAAGCCCCAGCCCTACATTCCAGGCAAGTCCTGCAAGCATGAGGAACGTGTGGATGTGCACCAGCATTTGTGTCAGCACAGAATCCAAGCTGCTGTCAGTCTCTTGGGCACAGCTCCATCAAGAATAGGCACCACTGACACAAAAAGAAAACAGCATGAGAGCAAAGTCTTAGGAGAAATCTTCAGATGAAAATGGGTGCCTCTTTTGCGGTTTGTGACATCTCCTCTCCTCTGCAATGCCAGTAAAGGGAGCAACTTCCTGACCTCAGCTCTCCCTAGTCCACCGCATAGCCGTGGATGTGACACTGGACTGTACCTGGCCCATCTGTGGACACAGCTGGGACAGTACAGCCTACATGACCCTCTGTCTCCATCAGCTTTGATATGGCTATGCACTGCGGTGGGCAAGGAAGAAACTGAGTTCCCCCTATGCAGAGAAATGATCAAATACTTGGTGAGTTCAGCAGATTATTAGTTGGAGTGTGCTGTCCCAGACATGTAGAACATATGGATAGCAAGCACCAAGGTGGGCATAGAGTCATCCTGCCTCAGTTTCAGAAAGAACACCCAACACTTGACCTCCTTCACTCTGCACCCTCTGCCACACATCAGGGAGCAACAATCCTTTCCAACCTGTGCCTGCTTAGCACAGGCTGAATAGAATGTAATGAAAGGACAGTATAAAAAAACAAGCTGTCAAATCAAAGGTAGTGTCTCTATTTCAAAGAAGGAAAAAAAAAATTAATGCCAATTTTCTAATAATGGGAATTATGAATTCTATCACTTGAAGTAAGAGTAGAAAAGGAGGGGAGGAGGGAAGAGAAAAAAGCTATCTAGACATTAAAACTTCTTATGGCTTTTCCTCTCCTAATTTTCAGATAGCTCTGAGATCTCTCCTCAGCAATGTTGCCCTTAGAAGTTTTCAGAAGAAATATTTGTTCACACCATCCATCTATTATTAATACCTAATTTTCCAGCTTCCCTTTGACAACTGTTTCATTTCAATTTCTGATATTCCATTGTAAAACAATGGTGTAATATAAAATACATTAGGGAATTTTCCAGAGCAATATTTATTATGTAATATTTAGAATCACAGAATCATAGAATGGCTTGGGTCAGAATGGACCTCAAGGAACATCAAGTTCCAAACCCGTTGCCACAGGCAGGGCTACCAACTTGCAGATCTGGTACAAAATCAGACCTATTTTAATAGGTTACTTTTATTAAAAGGGTATAAGTGATGTTTTTTACTAATTATTTATATACTGCTAAGAATGACTAATGATACAGGATGTGTCTGTTGGCTGGACAGCTGCAAACAGTTACAGTCAGTAGCTCTATGTCCAAATGGAAGTTGATGATAAATGCTGTCCCTGAGGGGCCTATCTTGGAAGTGATGCTCCTCATTATGTTTGTAAGTGACATAAATACTGGAATTAAGTGCACTCTCAGCAAGTTTGCAAATGACACCAAGTTGAGTGTGTAGATATTACAGAAGGAAAGGATGCCATCCGAAGGCATGAGCAAGCTTAAAAAATGGATCCACATAAACCTAATGAGGTTCTACAAGGCAAAATGCAAAATGCCTTAACTTAGGTTAAGGCAATCTCAGATATATTACAGACTGGGAAGAGAACTCACTGAGAGAAGCCTTACAGAGGACTTGGGGGTCCTGATGGACAAAAAGCAGTAGGCTCTTGCAGTCTAGAAGGCCAACCACATCCTGGGCTGCATTTGCCCTTGTGAGGCTGCTTATGAAGTACTGTGTCGAGGTCTGGGGCCCTCGGGACAAGAAAAAAGTGGTGCTGTTGGAGGGAGTCCAGAGGAGGGCCAGGATGGAGGGCCAGAGGGATGGAGCACTTCTCCTATGAAGAAAGGCTGAGGGAAATGTGCTTGTTCAGCCTGGAGAAGAGAAGACTCTGGGGAAAAATGTTTTCAGTTTTCCAGTAATTAAAGGGAACTTATAAAAAATAAGAAGATGAATTATTTACATGGTCTGATAGTGATAGGAAAGGAGGAAATTTTTTAAACAGAAGAGGAAAGATTTAGATTAGATGTTACAAGAAAATTTTTGACTCAGAGAGTGATCAGTCACTGAAACAGGTTGCACAGGTGATCAATAGCCTGATCTGGTGCGTGATTCTATGATTCTACGATTCTATGTGACAAACCTCCTCACTGAAGAGGGAGTGGAACTAGATGGTCTTAAAGGTTCCTTCCAACCCAAGCCATACTTTGATTCTATTGAATTATACATCCTTCATCTTTTTCTTCTGCATCCCATAGTTTTTTTGTTTGTTTTTTGATTTTCAGTTTTACTTTTTCTATGAATATGCTGATGTACTGCTTCCCTCCTGCCTGTATCTGAATGGAGTTTTCGGTATTTTTGTATTCGTAAGGCAAGAAGTCAGGGAGACAAAGATATTGACACAAAACTACCTTCAGAAGGTTTTCGTCTCCCCTGGGTGTAACTTTCTTACAGTGTACATTCAACAATAAAGTTCTTCAGCACATCGTACATCTGTGTGTCAATCAAGAGCTTAACTCTCTTTCAGGCAAGTTCCTGGGTGAGTTCAGATTGTGGCACCATAGCATTATGCAGGGCTTAAATCATCACAGATTTACCTCTCTGTGTATCATTTGCAGTATTCCTGGAATATATATTGCCTCACAGTAATTGGTGTCTGGGCAAGTAGCAAACCTGTGCAAGATACAACCACTCCCAACAGCAGTGTCAACAAATCTAGGCACTGACATAATAAGCATGTGCTTCTGATGACCGTCAAACTGTTTGTATTCTGATAGCTGTCATTTTTGCCATGGGTCATTCATGAAAACTGCTGAGCGCCGTGGGATGGGAACATCTGTCTCATACATAGCTGAGAGTTTCACTCAAGATTGGTGAGGGTGGAGTCCTTTGATCAACAGGAAAATGACATGTAAGACAGCATAAATTCTGACTCACACTAGAGAGTCTATGCAGCCCTAGACAAGTTGTACTGTATTTCTGCTAAAGCCTATTATATATAAACTATTAACCATTTGTCTCCAAATATGTTTTCCTTTCACTTCTACATTATACAATGAATGTATGAGGCCCGTGTCATCCTCATGAAGTTCAGCAAGGCCAAATTGATTGGGGCAGTCCCAAGCACAGATACAGGATGAGCTGAGAATGGCTTGAGAGCAACCCTGAGGAGAACAATTTGGCAGTGTCAACTGATGAAAGAATTATCAGGAGGCAGCAATGTGTTCTTGCAGCCCAGAAGGACAATCATAACCTGGGTTGCATCAAGAGAAGCATGACCAGCATATCAAGGGAGGTGATTCTGCCCCTCTGCTCTGTTCTCATGAGGCTCCACATGAAGTAATGTATCCAGTTCTGGGGCCCCCAACACAAGGACATGGAGTTGCTGGAGCAGGTTTAGAAGAAGGCTACAAAGATGATCAGAGGGATGGAGGACCTCCCATACTGAGGACAGGTTGAGATAGGTGGGGCTTTTCAGCCTAGAGAAGAGAGGGCTCCAGGGAGACCTTGCTGAGGGCTTCCAGTACCTGAAAGGGGCCTGCAGAAAAGTGGGGATGAACATTTTATAAGGGCATGCAGTGACGGGACAAGAAGAAATGGTTTTAAATTGGAAGAGGGTAGATTTAGACTAGATATTTGGAATAAATTATTTATTGTGAGGGTGGTGAGACACTGGAACAGGTTGCCCAGTGATCTTGTGGATGCTCCCTTCCTGGAAGCATTCAAGGCCAGGCTGGGTGGGGCTGTAAACAACCTGATCTAGAGGGAGGTATCTCCAGCTAGACCTGGAAGGGTGGAGGTAGGTGACCTTAAAGGTCCTTTCCAACTCAAACCATTCTATGATTCTGTGATTCTATTAGTACAAGAAAATGTTGATTCGTCAAAATAGATATCCACACAGCATTTCAAATATATATGTCCTTAAAAGTAGATAATTTACAGTTATCAATTTCCTGAAGTTATGACTATAAAGCAGTATCTGTGAATGTATATTAAGGCATCAAAATTTGTACTAAATATACTAGATATCATACTACACATCTGGACAATATGGCAAGATAAGAGTTGTTAGGAAACAAATGTCTTCCTTTATTGGAACATTTAAGAACATGAAACTAATTCAGATTTGGTAAGAAATTTATTTCTATGTCTCTTTATAAAAGAATGAGACATTCACAGCTCTGAAACTGTTGCAAAATTATTCAGAAGTTGCCATTCTGAAAACCAAGAAAAAGTTCTAGCAATTTTTAAGGACCAAAGGTACAGTCACTACAGAATGTAAATCTTTGATGAATTGTGTTAATGAGTTTACAGCTTTTGAATTGACTTAAAACAGAATTCTTCTTTATTTTACCTTCCAAAAATCCAAAAGTATTCAACATGTGTATTGGTCACAGTGATTATTGGAAATACCATTATAATTTCAATTGATTACAATTGACTATAGTAATTTCTCCCAATTTTATTCCGTTGTTCTGTGGCTACATTTCAGTGATCTATAAAGTGATGATTGTATTAGTTTGTAACGCAGTAACTTTCAGATTAGGACAAAACACAGAGCAGCATTATAAATAATGAGATTTCCTGAGTTGCTCACTTTTGTCTAACCTTTCTCAGATTTATCAGACTAATTTAAGTTTAAAATCCTACTTGTCATACATTATCATGTTGAAACTAAAAGAGAGGAAAAATGAGATTACTAAATGCACATCAAACATGAAGACAACAACTAGATTTAAAATATATATAGATTAGCTAGAAAAATATTCTTTGAAAGAATACAAATGTTAAAATATAATTCTCAGGAATAAAGCCAATGAATGCTAGCTAGAATATATAAATGGCACTTATGCTATCTAATCTGGAGTGTGTATATTCAGCCATGTAAATGTTGCATACTTTTCTTCTTCCTTTTCTTAAGTTGATCTCCACTCAGGTAAAATAAATTTGCTTTAAAGTGTTTGAAAAGTAGACCAATTTACAGAAATCATCTGCAGAATGTAATTGCCAGCTAGTATTCCAGGCAGCTTTCCTAGCTATCTGGAGAAAGAAACAGGTAAGGTAGAAACATAAATTACAAACAATAAGAAAGAAGTAGAATTATAGACTACTGAGAAGAGAAACTACTGCTATCAGTCCTGCCAGTTCATAAGAAACTGATCTGCAATTCATGAATGTGACAGAACACATTCTTCTTACAAAACAATAAAACACTACGACAGCAGATAAGTAGGGGCAGAAGGAAAGATGCCATGGTGAAATCGGTGCAGAAC